TTATTTCCATCATTCCATGTTAAGGCAGCCTAAGTAAGATCTGTGTAATGTATCCTTGCACTGAGAGAGGGAGTCGGCCCAGGCACCTGAAAAGAGCTTTCAAAACTGGAAAATTCCATTTTCATTGAATAATATAAAGTATATTTACTGTAAATATCTTATTTTGAAAATGTATATGGGGGTTTCCAAAAATTCATGGAAAGCAGAATTAAAAGATAATAGAATTTTCCCATGAACTTTTTCAAGCCCCATCATATTTTCAAATACCCACTAGGGGCTTTCACTAGGTTCCTATGTTCTCAGAGTCCTGAATTTGACAAATTAGCTTTGCATACTGGCTGTTTAACATTCGTTCAGAGCAGATATGTTTGTAACAATGAGATCAATTTTCCCTACTCTTATTATAAATAAGATTATTTAAAGCTATAAACCTAATAGTGCAAAGTACAATTAAGAGAGACAACAAAATAATAGTTACACTCAGATTTTTCTGAATCAAAAACTTTAGTCTTGGCAATAGCTATTTATCTGGAGACAGCACATTGTGCACAAAGCTAAATTGTGAAAAACTAGTTGTTTTCTTGATTGTTTTTTATGCCACGTTCCTGGGTGAGAAACAAGGAATCTAGTATATTTTGAGCACCTACTGTGTGCCAGGCACTTATTTATCTCTTTTTGTCTTCAGGCTTCTGTGAGGCAGATGTCATTCTCATTTTCACAAAACTCAGGAAGTATAATTAACTTGCTCAGGATCACACAGATTTTAATGAAAGAACTCATGTTTGAATTCAAGTCAGTCTGATGAGTAGAACCTGTGTTTGCTCTTCACATTGGTAATTCACAGACCTTTAGCAGCATCAGAATCCTATCTATGGACAATACCTGCTGCAAGACAGCTGCTGAGCCCCAACCCCAGAGTTTTTGATTTAACAAGTCTAGGTAGGCCTTCGTATTTTTGCATTTCTGGCAAGTTAACAGGTGATGTTGATGCTTCTAGTTCAGGACCACATTTTGAAGACACCTGTTCTACATCATGCTGTCTTGCAAGCATGAGCAAGTGTCTCTTTGCTTTCATATGACAGAAACATTTGTTTAACTACAAAAATATGATTAGACACCTAGTGACATTTGAATTTCTTTGTAATTTATAACACTTTAAAAATTGTAATAAGAAATCTACTGTAGCATCTTAACTCTTTTTGATCTTAACCATGAGTAGATTGCTATATTAAATCATAACAATGTTGCAATTCATTTTTAGCAACTTTTGTTGTTGTTGTTAAGTGCCGTCGAGTTGGTTCCGACTCATAGTGACCCTGTACAGGGTTTCCAATGAGCAACTGGTGGATTTGAACTGCCTACATTGTCGTTTGCAGTCCAGTGCTGATTCTAGTTCAACTAAATCCTTTTAAAAGAAATATTAAATGCATCTAGAGGAAGGAGTTTATTTTAGAAATGCTAATGATGTGATATATTTTAACCTCAGATAATATGAGTGGGCTTCAAAAAGTTTGTGGAAAAATTCCACTGTCTTTTAATTAAATGTTTCAAAGGACTTTTTGAAGCCTCCTTACATATAATTGGGATTTTAAAATGTCAGTTGAATAAAGACATTTTCCTGTTGGGTATTTTGGACTATTACCAGGGTATGACCAGGCAAAAGACCTTATAAGCAATCCTTATTTATATGCACATATTAAACCTGAGTCCAAATACTTGTATGCCTTGACGTAATTTCCACGTCTTCTGACTAGAAGAGTTGGATCTGATGACCAACTAATATAATGAGCTTATGAAATTATGCTATCTCAAATGTGCCCCCAACTCTCCATGTTAGGCGAATGAGATTATTAATTTACAAAGTCTGCAAGAACATTTCACTCAGCATTTTTTATTCCTAGTTTTCTCATCAACTAATTAAGGTGTTAAGACTCCCCTAGGGGATAAAATGAGATGTGTACATTTCAGCTCTGTACCCAGCAGTCAATGACAGCAGGAAAATATCTAATCCAAAGAAAATTTAGATTTTAGATGGTATTTCATTTAGACCAGGGGACCAGGCAGCACTTTATTTTTAGGAAGAAAGCAAGAGGTGTTAATGCTTCTAATTACCTAGAAGGAAAGCAGTTACTAAACTGCATTTATAATTCGGGACAGTGGTTAGATCTAGTCCTCAGTGGAATCCCAAGATGGAAGGATCAAAGTGATGGAGAAGGTGATTGCTTTTAATCACAAGGTCTCTGACTAGGGCAAAGGGATGCATTTTATACAACAAGATAAATTACCTTGGACATCTAGAGACCAATTTAACCATTGGGTTTTCTGATATTTATGCCTCACTCAACTAAATGGGCAATGGTTTGGGTTTCTGTTTTGTTTTTTGTGTGTTTGAAGCACATTTTTAAGCAGCCTGAGGACACGATATTTAAATGAACTAGAAGGTCAATAGTTCAAATCCATCAGCTGCTCCATGGGGAAAAGATTTGGCAATCTACTCCCACAAAGATGATAATCTGGGAAACTTTCTGGGGCAGATTCATTGATAGGGGTGACTGTGAGTCAGAATCCACTGATGGCACACGGCACCACACCTTCACATTGCTCAGGCACTTTTGAAGCTGGTACTTTGTAGGCAGGGGGCTTTATAATCCTGCCCTGTTCTATGATACATACGTTTTTGATAGCAAGCAATTATTTTGTCAAGGAATTAGAGGAAAAAAGGTTTGTGTTATGCTAGAATATAAACAAGCTTGCACACCATTCCTCATCTTCCCATTCTTTCTTGCTCTCTTGTTACAAAGAAGTATAAATAGAGGCTTCAGGTGGAAGGCTGGATTGTATGCATGTCATACCAAATATTGCAGCTGAAGCAGTCACTCTTCAGACAATCAGTCCTAAATTCCTCACCTGCTAAATCTGTGTGTGTGTATATATAAATGAACAATCTCTGGGGAATTCATTCTGAATCTGCCTGAATCCTTTTGAAATTTGTTGCAGCTGCAAAAATGTTCCCACATATGGAAATAAAATCTCTAAATAGCCCTCTGAATCAGCCATTTATGTGACTCTCTCGAGCTAGATTCAGTTTCTGACACAGTGCTGTTGAAGTGCCTTCGAGTTGCGGCTGGTGGGTTTGAACTGCCAACTTTGTGGTTTGCAGTTCAATGCTTACCCTACAGTGCCAAACCAGGAGACCTGACATAGTGCTACACACCCATTGAATGTCTGTTAATTGAGAAAATAAAAGCAATTGCTAAGTCGATACAACACCAAATGGTTTCTGGATCTGGTTATTTACTACTATAGTGTTATTGAATTGACTATTCACTTTTTGTATGCAAATTTTCACTAATACTTAGCTTTTCAAAAATGAAGCAGGGATAAGAACATGACCATGCCTATAGATGGCCTCCCACAGAGTTATCAATTAATGTGGCCATTTAAAAAGATACAGGGAACAGTTTAAGGTCACTTTACTCATATTTTAAATAGTGCAATAATTTTGTAAATTAAAATAAGCTGAATGGATTTGGAGCTAACTAATTAGTGTCAAAGTTAAAGTCATTAAGATTCTCTTTATACTTTTGAGGGATAGAATTTAATTTACTTTGCACAGATTTAATGTTTCTTTAAAATCATGTGAATTTAAGAATTCATAAAGCCTAAGAAACTTTCAACCAATTAAATATTTTTTGTTTTTCAGAAGGAAAGGATATAATGAGCAGTCCATAATAATTTTTAAATTGTACTAAAACTTTGTGGAAAAATCAAATTGCTTAACTGGAATTCAACTAATCAGAGTCTAATTTTCAATTTTTCCTGTGTCCCCGTTTTAAAGAGAGAAGTATATGCCAAAGTCTAATGATTATTGAAATATATTAAAATATATTCTACTGTATGTTTATGATATTGTGGGGTCAATATACATTTAGCCCTACCTATATATAATAGGCTTGTCTTCATCATTGATTGGCAAGTGTTCAGTGAGCAAAAACACCCTGCTGGTTGGTGAATTGCCTTCCTAGGCAGGTAAATTACATGTTATTTGTCTATAGCTGGGATGAGAACGTCATAAAACAATATATACTTAATGGAAGCTAGTTTTCCTATTCAATTTCACTAAGATTGCACATTCATTGAAAAGAAAATGTGCTTCCATTATTCAGATTGAGTTCAGTATTACTTTAAAATATGAATCAGAACGCTGTGGATATCAGTTTGTCAGCTACATTTTAGCAGTTCTTAAAGGAGCTCCCATCCCTCACCCAGCACCACCCTCAAAAACTAAATTAGAAAAACTTGTTTCTGAGCTTTCAAGGAGATATGCCAGTGGGAAATATTTTAGGTTGTTTATGAATGCAGTTAGTGACAGAATTTTAAATAGCAAGGCCTTTTGTCCTCATTAAGGCTGGCCTATATTCATGTATTTGGAGATAGCTTCCTATGCTGTCAGAGATTTAGAACTCAAACTTTGCTCTTTTTTTCCTGCCCCCCTGTGTGGTGGAATGAGTGTAAATAACTATAAACATATTGTAGAGAAGGGTATCCATTGTCAAACATGACTTAAGAGTCCTTTGAACTTGCATGAGTTGAAGATCATCTGAATTGTATCTGTGAACAGTTTTATCCCTTAGTTTCTTATTTGCTTGGAAGGCATTTTCATAACAAAATACTAGATTAGTAAAAGCAGTAAATAGGAGTCTCCATGCAAGAGAAACTGGAGTTTCCTAACATGCACATGATTTAAAAAATAAAAGTAAAAAATAAGGTGCCTTGAGATGCTGGCAGTTTTAACATTTGGAACAAAAAGTTCTTATGTATATTTACATCCTAACTGCTCAATTTTACCTTACAAGCTTCAATTTAGGAAAATATACAGTACTTTTGCATATAATGGTAACTTGTGAGCCCCTGAGTCAAGTAGAGAGGATTTAAATACAAAAAGGAAAACAGCCATTAAAAGCACTTACATTGTATGTAGAGTGAATAGTACAAAATGATTATTTCCCTGGAAGACCAGGATCAGAAACATGCCTATGAAGACCCACGATTCCAGTAGTGCTTAGGGATGATTCTGGCAAAGAAGGATGCCTTACTGGGTGAAGGTAAGCTTTCCTTTGCCTTGGATGGAGCTCTAAAGAGAGATCACTGTCTTGTTTTAAAAGTGATGTCAAGTTGTCCTCTGAAGCTGTGATCAGATGCATCCCTCTTGAGAGGAATTCTTTGGATTTAAGTTTAGATTTTTCAAGGTCTAGGAATTCAGGACACTGATAGAAACAGAAGAAAATACATATTTATAACTCACTTTGGCAGTCATCTAAATTACTCCTGAAATTTAAATGAACTTGCTTTCACCATTGATATATATTTGATTAGTAGCATTATTAATGAATATAGCTCTCAAAGATGGGTCAAGAAATTGGAGGTAGGATGTCAATTGAGATAATACTAAAAAACAATTTATATAACATTAAACTCCTGGTGTGGCACTGTAGGATCAGCACTGGACTTAGAACCACAAGGTCAGCAGTTCAAATCTACCAGCTGCTCCTAGGAAAATCTATACAGGGTTGTTATGAGTCAGACAACAACAACAAACAATAAATACTCCCAAGAATTTCACAACAAACAGTAAATACTCCCAAGAATCTGTCACAAAGATTCTTTTGCTATAGCATGGCTAATAGTCCCCATTTAAACTAGGTATCCTCTAAGTCCTTTCAGCCCCGTCTCACCCTGCTCCCCCTTCCCCCTCCCACCTCACACTATGGAAAAATAATAAACTTCTTCCAGAAAAACTGCCAAGGTCAGAATGACCTAAGGACACCTGAACAAACAGGATAAAAACTTAGCCCATCCATACCAACAAGATAAGGATTTATTGGTGGGTTTACTCCCACTTCCAAGAGAACGGTCTGCTGGAATTTTCCACCCCAGGTAACAAGACAAGTCTGTTGGTTTTAACCACTCTGTGTTTATGTGTAAAACCCTGTTCCTCTTCTCACTTGGGGGTGAGAATGATTTGGGCTTGAGCTGACACTCTGGCCACCAGCAATACACTTTGCTCTTTAAGATTTTAGGGTTGAGTTCTTTCTGACTCGTGCTGCCGCAACACTTTATTGCTTTATGAGATTTCACATAGTGAATTCTTTAGAGCAACCCTATATGTATCCTAGTAGAATTGTGCTCCACGGTGTTTACATTGGCTGATTTTTAGGAACCAGAATGGCAGGCCTTTCTTCCAAGGAACCACTGGATAGACTTGAACCACAAACTTTCAGTTAGCAACGGAATGCATTAAATGTTTGCACCACCTGGGAACACCTTGGTGATGATGGACAAAACGGGATAAAAGTAAAATCACTCAGCCCAAATAAATCATCTAAATCCACTAAATGTACAGAATGGAGAGCATTTTTCTTTTTGGATGCTTCCTAGCCACAAAATTATTTTTGTTAAGTGCCATCTAGTTGCTTCTGATGCATAGTTACCCAGTATGTGGTTTCTGTGCTAGACTGCAAAGCCATTTGAACTGCAAGGTCGGTGGTTCCAGCTCACCAGCTGCTTCTTGGAAACCCTATACAGGGTCACTATGGGTCGGAACCGACTCAAGAGCACTTAACAACAACAATAGGGTTTCTAAGAAGCAGTGAGTTTGAACTGCCAACCTTGAGGTTTGCAGTCCAGTGCTTATTCTACAGAGTCATTTGGAGACAAATTAGTTTCTACTTTCATATTTTAGTAAGATTGCATTCTCTTCCTCTTGGCACATTATTTCCTGTTATGTAGGCTGTTCTAAGTGTCCAAATATCTGAAAAAAGTTTACAAGCTTGTTCTGTAAATTTTTATTGTCAGGTCCAATTTTACTATAATGTTTAAGACAGCAAGACTAATTCTACCAAGGTAGAATTCCATGGGACTTCTTGTTATTGTTGTTAAGTGTCGTCGAGTCTGCTCTGAGCCATAGCGAACCTGTATAGGGGTTTCTGTGGAGCAACTGGTGAGCTTGAACGGCCCACCTTGTGGTTCAAGCTGACTTTGCAATTCAGTGCATTAGCCCACAGTGCCACACCAGGACTCCAAGGGACTTAGACTTACATTAATATAATTCAACAAGACCCTTAAGAAGTCTTCAAAGGCATGATGAAATATTCTATATTCTGTCTCATGCCATTTAATTCTCCAGGTGAAATAAGGTTAGAGATCCCTGGCAATGGGCCAGACAGATATGTGATTGCCAGTTTTGATTGCATTTGACAGACAGGTCCTCTCTAGACAACTGCATTTCTCTTCCCCTTGATTTCCAGTCCCTTGTCACATTAGAGATTTTTCTCCTAAGTATTTTTGGACCCAGGACAATTTCTTAGCTTTCTAAGAAAAAACAAAGATGCTAGTTTTTAAATAATTCTTCTAGTCCATTGTTCTCACACTTTAAATGAGGAGAAAATCCGGAAAGAGCTTGTTTATAATGCAGATTGCAGGGCACATGTCCAGAGATTCTGAGTAGTAGGAGAGGGGATTCTGATTCAGGTGGTGCTTGGTAGAAATACTTTGATAGAAACTGTTGACTGGAATAGATGATTGGGCAAAATCTATACTCACTTGTGAGGAAGGACTGAAGCTTCTATCCGTTTTAATGGATGCTCCAGGATGACTGGCTCTCACCAGGCGGATGATGGGCCTCTGATACTCGGCTCCTGCTGTAACCATACTGTAGGCTGGGGGGACCACGGTGGTTTGTTTCTGCAGCAACTGTAAGATGGTCTGGATGTCAGTAGTCATTTGGGATTCAAGTCTGCAGAACAGAGAGAAATTGGAAAAGACAGTCCTTAAATTGTCTAGGGTTGCAAAGCATTTGAGAAAACTTGAGTTCTATCAACACGCAGATTTATGGCACTGCTTTAAACAAGTACAGGACACTGAGCATGGAGATTTTTTTTCCAGTCTGCTGCATATTTTCTATGTCTCAATAATAATTCTGGTAAAGATCATGGCACCTTGTTCATTTAGTAAAATGTTGACTGAAAAACAAATTAATAGAATTAATTAAAATTTTAATAACATTTATTGATTTAAGAATGTAAAACACAACAAAAATCTCTTTTTAATCACCAAATTGCTCAGGGAAATTTTTTTTTCTTTAAAAAAATAGGTTTATAGCACATTTTTTTTTTTGCTCATACATTCTATAATAATTTCTTATGTGTTTACAATTTTATCTTTGTTTTACTTTGTTTCTCTCCTATTGTTAAGTGCCATGGAGACTGCTATGATTCGCAGCAACACCGTATAAGGTTTCTGAGGAGCAGCTTGCAGGTTTGAACCACCTCTGTGGTTCAGTCCAGTGCTCACCCTACAGAGCCATACATATCAAGTATTGTATGCTAGTCATTACATACTTTTAAAATGCTGCTAAATGCTAAATTCCTTTACCACGTACTGTGTAGGGCCTTTGGTGTTTAAGAAACAGACCAAACTTAAAAGTTCATTTGCATCTATGACCCTTCTGACTGGCAAACTAGTAATCTGATCACCCCCACCTCACTCCAACCCAAAGTTTACATTTAGCCAACTGGCCTGTTTATATTATTTTCATTTTGAATTAGAATTCCAGAGAAAATATCAAAATACAATTGGTCTGACTCCCCTCCTTTGCATGTGTTAACAGAATAAAAAACAGAGAATTTTGTGGGGTTGTTGTTGTTGTTAAGTGCTGCTAAGTTGGTTCCAACCCATAGCAACCTTGTATAGGAGTTCTAAGAAGTGGCTGGTGAGCTTGAACCAACAACTTTACAGTCCAAACCAACTTTGCAGTTCAGCACAATAACCCACAGCACCACCCCAGGACTCCTTCATTGGCATTTTGTTGTTGTTTTTAGGTGCCATCGAGTTGGTACTGATTCATAGTGACCCTATGTACAACAGAACAAAACACTGCCCAGTGCTGGGCCAATCTCAA